GAGCAAAAAGCATCAGGAGAAGAAAAAGAAAGAGTGGAGCAGGAGGTCCAGATGGGACCCTCTGCCAGGTGTGGTGGCAAAGAGATAAAGAAGGAGCCTGGGGGGGTTGTCCTAGAGGATTTCAAAGAAGGCTTCCATGTAGAGGAAAATCCTCTGGAGGAACTGGAGCCCCTGCATAACCGGGAATACATATATAAAGACAACTTCCCGGTACAACTAAAGGGGTCCTGGTACAATTAAAGGTGCCAAAAGACAAGGTGGAGGAGCACCTTAACTCTCAATCCCCTGCCCCCCCAATTGGGGGGGAATGGAAATGCTGGGTGGAAAAGCATCATCCCCTGGAACCCAGGCTGGGAGAGCTACAGAGTAGACACATTCTAGATGGGTGGTATATAAATAAATAAAATAAAATAAACACAATGCTGGATGAGACAGAGGCAACAGGAACACGAGCACCAGATCATGGAGAGACAGCAAGACCAGAGAATCTGAGACTATTACCATTGCCCTCACTGTGGACATATAAACTCTCCTTGCTGTGGGCCTCAAGGTGCTGGTTGACATGGAGAACCCCACTAAGAGTAAAAGGACTTAAGACCTTCCCAGTGTTGCTAACGAGAAGGTCCTCAGACTTCTTTAGACTTGAGGGAAGTTCAGGGAACTGTCCCGAAGGCTGCTAGAAGTGCTTTATTTTTCTCCTTTGTCCCAGCTGCAATAAACCTAGTTTGTGCAGCACTGCCTTTCATGTCATCTGTGGATTCAGGAGTAGACACATAAGCCTCCATTGACACAGTCAGGGCTGGCAGGGCTCACATTTTGTTGTAGGATAATCTCATCACACTGAAGAGGTGATGGCAAGGCATGGTCCTCCTGGGGCTTCTCATGCCCTGCATTTTCTGAGGGAATAAATATTTCTTTTAATAATTATAAGATGCAATGCAGGATTAGGAAACCTTTAGCCCTCCTCATGTTCCACATTATAAGCTTCACACTCCCTTACGTACTACTACAATGCTGGATGGGGCTTATGGGAGTTCCAAAACATAAATAAATTGGGGGAAAACAAAGGCCCAGTTTATCCTTTCCCCTTCCTTCTGCTTTTCTGTATTTCTTTTCTGTCTGCTGATGAATATTCCATGAGTCCTGGAAGCCAATCAGTCTATTAAGCTGCATTTGGTTTGAAGGCAAAGGATTCACTAAGGCATGCTAATTTTATCTCCTAATTTCTGACTGGCCCCATTTTGGCTCTAGTCCTGTCATTTCTGAACAAGTTGTCTTTATTTTTAAAGTTAGTGGGAATGATTGCTGATCAAAGTAGCCATACTGCTATATGGATGTTCACAGAGCATGGTTCCTTCTCTTGGGTCATTTCACAGCACCTCTTTCCAATAGTGTGATTTCTCAGATTCCCATACCAAAAACAAACAGTTCTAAAAGCAAACTATAACTTGCTTTTTAGAAAGAAACATTCCGTTCTGCTCAATATTTCCCTGCATTTTTTTCTCATATGAGATTTTTATGCAAACCAAATCCAGAGTTGCAGACAGCATAAACAATCACCACTTACCAAGTGCTACACAGCCAACAAACCTAGGCTGTTAATTTCCATAGCCTTTCTTTGCTATACATTATCAAGTTAAGAATTATATCTCTACTGCAAACATTTAATTTGAACATTGTGTAATACATGGTTTATGTACAATACTCCAGTCTGGAGTCTCTTGAGTTTTAAACCTACATCAACTTAATTGCAATTGATTGACCTCACTGGGACTAACCTCAGCATAGGCATGATAGAGGAATGTGCTATTAAACAGGAAGGTGCCCTAAATCCAGTCACACATGTAAAATATTACCTTTGGCTGTACAAACTATACATTTTGGAACTGTAGTCCAAAAAAGTAGCTTTTTCAGTCTCTGAGTTCAATTTATAAGCTACTTAACCTGGTCTCCACATCCTTTCTGCAGTTTTCAGGTCTTATGGACATGGTTTAAAGTACATTTAATTGTCTTCAGGTGGAAATATTGCTTAAAGTAATACCTTGCTCATAGAAACGTCAATCTGGCTGATTTAACTTCCTTAGAACTAAAGTGTGCTCATGCCAAGCTCCAAGTTTCTGGTGCCAGACTAGAGTTTTCTTTTACTTTCAGTATAAAGAAGGAGAGAATAATTTTACCTGGCCCCAGGTATGAGATTACTTTCTAAATTCTGCTTCCATCTTAAGAGGGATGTGCACTCCCTTGTTGCACCAATTCAGCCTGTTTCCAGTTAGAGGTACAGAGACTGGCACTCCACTTGCCCTGTGCCTTTTTTGGAGGCAATCCAGTCTGATCCTCATTGCTGTCTATGCTGGAATCCGTGCATTTCTGCATCTCAATGGAAAAATGTTTCCAAAATGGGTAAACACAAACAGCTATGGCTTGAAGTGGGATAGGACTACACAGCACCATCAGAATTATTTGTCCACTGCCTGGCCAGAGAATACATGAAAAAGAAAAGCAACTCCTTGGTGCTTCATAATACATTCGGTCAAATCGATACTTTGACTTATGTTGACCCCTTCCAAGGTTGTCTAGAGCAGTGGTCCCCAACCTTGGGCCTCCAGATGTTCTTGGACTTCAGCTCCCAGAAATCCTGGCTAGCAGAGGGGTTGGTGAAGGCTTCTGGGAGTTGTAGTCCAAGAACATCTGGAGGCCCAAGGTTGGGGACCACTGGTCTAGAGTACTCAGAGGTCGTTTACCATTACCTGCCTCTGGGGCCACCATGGGACTGTGCAGCTTTACTCAGGCTGCACAAGCTGTCTTTGTGGCAGCCTCGTGGCGCAGTGGTTAAACTGCTATACTGCGGCCAAAACTGTACTCATGACCTGGGGTTCAATCCCAGCTAGCTGGCTCAAGATTGACTCAGCCTTCTATCCTTCTGAGGTCAGTAAAATGAGTGCCCAGCTCGCTGGGGGGTGGGCAATGTGTATCCTGCATAATTAACTTGTAAACCGCCCAGAGAGTGCTTGAAGCACTATGGAGCAGTATATAAGCAGCACGCTTTTTCTCCTGGGAAGCACAATGGGGAACTGAACACCCATCCTCTGATTCAGCCATAACTGAGCTATCCAGCTATGAACTCAATTTTAAATAACCTCTGAATGAAAAGAGATGTAATGTACAAGTAACGAGAATACTATTGCTGACTTCCTCTTTAATGTTGAGGATGTCTCTTGTCACCTTTCAAATGCTCATTAGATTTAAACTACCAGAGACAACCATCTCAATTTCCATAAAGAGCTGGTTGGAGAACATGTGGCCTTCCCAATGTTCTTGGATTACAGCTCCCATCACCCCAAGCCAGCTTAGCCTCTAGAAAGCAAGGATGCGAACTGTGGTCTAACAATGTTTGGAAGTACAAATGTTCCCTGGCCTTTCTGTAGAGGCTCTGGAGATTCTTCTAATTCTGGCAAAGAATCACATTTTAACAGCAGTGTAACACTGTTGAAGTCATAGTGGTAGAAGAGGTAGTGGTGTTAGTCTGTGAAAGCATTATAGGTAAAAGCAAAATACAAATAAAAAGTTTTAAAAGACAAAAACGTGGTGGCACCTTAAAGACTAAATTTTATATTTTTCCTAAATTGAGTTTTTGTGGACAAGGTCACTTCATCAGACATAAAGAGATCTGATGAAGTGGACTTGTGCACAAGAGCTCATATTTTTAAAAAAATAATAAAGTTAGTCTTTAAGGTTCCACACATTTTGTTTTTTGTTTTTTGTTTTTTACTTTGTATTTCTATTTTGCTTTTACCTAAAAAAAATTAAAAACACTTTTGTTGTCCTAAGGCCATTATAGCTTGGGCTTAGCTGAATCCTTGAAAAATGATAACATTCAACTATTTCAACATTTTCTAAGAAACATTATCATGAGAAAATGAAATATTATTTGCCATACATGCTTGGGCAAAAAGGGTTTGGGGAAGATGTCAAAGACTGCTTATAATCGGAAAGGAAGAGTATGCCTTCATTTTACAAAATGGCTAATTTTTGAGTCAAATTCTTATTTTACAATGCATCATTTTAACTTTTGAAAAAAGTGATTGAGGAGGGGGATACTCAGCTCTTGTTTACCTGTTAAATGCCAGACTGATCATATAAACTTTGAAAGGGTTGGAGTTTCATTTAGAACTTCCCTGTAGCTCCTCTAAAGACATCCAAAACCTCTTTCTAAGCAGCTGCAATTCTTATTTGAATTTCAGCCTAGATATAACCACAGGTCCCAAGTTCCCCAAGGAAGTCTTGCGTAAGCATTGTTCTCAATTAGTAGTGCAGAGATTTGAGAGAAAGCAAGAGGTCTTTGCTTTAGCTGGCATGGGGACATTAAAAATAAGTGGTCAAGTCTCTTTGAGATGTCTGTGTGTAAATTTAAATCCCTTTTAATGGTAATGGGAACTACATATGCATGCTGAGGGGAGAGCTTCTACCCCCCTAAGCAAAGCAAACTGGTCAAGGCCAAGAAAAATCAAACTCCATTACATTATGGAAGCAGCCGAAATAATAGTCGGGATTTTTTCAAGAATAATTTTATGGGTTAAGCAAATCTGTCCGTCTGAGATGGGATTTCATATCCCAGAAGGACATATGCTTTATTTACTAAGTATTCAACTTTTACATCTGGGGGTGGAGATCGGGGGGGCAACAAGTTTCCAAAAATACTTGAGTGGAAAGGAAACAGCTGTTTGCAGAGATGAGCCATTACAGTCAACGAAAGTTGTGAGTGAGGAAGCAACGGAAGAGTTTGGATGATGCTGACAAATTCCGACATTTTGGCAGGAGTCATGAGCACCCATGAATTATATCACCCAGGAAGAATGCATGAACAGGATTTTACAGTACAGTTGGATTTTTTTTTCAATCCAGCATTATATTTTTCACTTGCATTCCTCTATAGTGGAGCACATCATCAACATCATAATCTATTTAATTTATATCCCACCATTCTCCTAGTACAGACTCACCCACAGCTAGGGAGACCAGGTCGTGAGCATCCCATTTCAAAGGTTTCAAGACCAAAAGTGAGACCAGGGGGTAGACACTTGTGATGCCATGGGAACAAGTCCTTGTGATGTCACAAATGTAGATCAGGCTAAGGGTTAGGGAGATTGAGTCTCCTCCCAGTTTTACGCCATTGCTACCATGGCTTGTGCAACATAATACTGTAAGAGTATTATGTAAGATTTATACTGTAAGATTATACTGTAATATACTGTAATTATACTGTAAAAGGCTTTATGTTGCTTGTGCAACATAAAGCCTCATGGGTCCTGATGGTGATGTTCTGCACCCTGCTTTGCTTCTAATTGCATGGTAAGCCAAATAATGGCATGCTTAAAACCCAGGAGCAAGCAGAGAGGACCAGAGAGAGTGTCACTGGCTACCTGCCTTTGAGGCTATCATGCCATTTGGAGCAACATAGACAGAGACTCCTTCATGCTGAGCCAGTGAACCTTGGTGCCAGCTGGCTTTAAAGACACCTCTCACACAAAAATCAAACTATTTCCTCCTTCTTCACTCTTCTCCCTGAGATGCATCTCCTTGCTTGCAGAGCCAAAGAGCCATAACAGTTCCCTGAGACTTTAGCCTGTCTCCAAAGATGCTTACAAAACGGCTAAAAATAAATGCAACCAAAGAAAGGAGTGCATTTTCATATTAAAACCCAGTGAAATATTTTATATAATAAAATAAAAACCAAGTATTTGAGATAATTTGAAAGTACTTCAGAGGAAAGTAAAATGTACAGCCTGGCCTTTTAAAAGCCCCTTCCCCAGGCTAACGCCAGACTGAAAAGAAAGGTTATTTGCCTACCAGCAGAAAGTGAACAGAGAGGGTGAGCCAGCCTAGTTCCCTGTGCTGGGAGCGCCACAACCCAAGAGCAGCCACCAGAAATGTCATAAGCTGTGTCCTCAACATGCATGCTCAACATGGACTGCTTCTCTCAAAAGATGTTGAAAACTGCAACCGCTCTTATAGGGAGATGTGAACCTTCAGATAGCCTATAATCAACATGCATGCTCAACATGGACTGCTTCTCCCAAAAGATGTTGAAAACTGCAACCACTCTCATAGGGAGATGTGAACCTTCAGATAGCCTGTAATCAGGCCATATAGGGTTTTCTAGGACATAATCAGCACTCCATATTGTACCTATATGGCATAGGAATCAAGATGACACTAGAATCAACATTTCTTTAAATACCCAGACTGGAGAATCATTCACCTTGGTGGAATGATCCTATTCTCTCTCTCTCTCTCTCTCTCTCTCCTCTCTCTCTACCCAGACTGGAGAATCATTCACCTTGGTGGAATGATCCTATTCTCTCTCTCTCTCTCTCTCTCTCTCTCTCTCTCTCTCTCTCCACACACATTTACATCTAACTCCCCTGTAGCATAGTCCTGCATGACTACAGCTACTGTACGATCATTTTCATGGTCTAGATACTGTAAGGCATTTTCTTATGTTCCTGTATGAGAAACAGAAGGGACAAGGTGTCTGCCAGCATCTCCCTTCTGAGGAGACACACTAAACAGTGGAATTAATACCTTTACACTGTGAAAATGCTCATTTAGGAGCCCATTCAGGGGCCCTGTTGCATATTGTTTGGGCTTCTCCAGCAGTTTTCTGCAGCCATCTCCCCTAGTCATCAATGCATGTCTGTTGTCCTTCAGGGGCAGAAAAAAAGTGTTCAGACTGTTCCAGCTGGCCATGAAGTGAACATATTGTTTTAACTTATGACCGTTTGATTCATAGCCATTGTAACTTGACCAACTATGCCACTCTAAGCAGGATTGACTTGGTTAGTTCTTTTATGGAAGATCACCAGGTAATATCAGGAATTTCCAGGTAGGGCTAGGAGAGAAGCTTGCCTGAAACCGTGGAGACCTGTGTCAACCTAAGCTGACAATATTGGGCTGGATATAATTAATTAACAACAACAACAACCCTTATGTCCTTATAATCCTGTAACTCTAAAGAATGAATAGGGATTTTGATCCAAGGGGATCCAACATGCTTGTACCAGGATAGGTTGCTCTCTCTCTCTCATGAAGAATTTGTAGGCTGGGATGCAGGAGAGGGCACGGGGATGCAGGAGAGGGCATGGGGACCACAACTGGTTGAGCCAATGATCATAAGGACAAGAACAGCATGGATATCCAGGGATAAAGTATAGTGGGAACTTTCCCCAAAAAGTTCCACTTGCCAATTAACTATGTAAAGCTAATACCATAGTTAGAGTCTTGGGCCAGGTTCTTATTGGATAAATTATTTGTGTTAAGCCAAAAATAGTCTTTGGCTCTTTTTTGCTGATTAAAACTGTGAGCAATTTTCCTTAGGGCCATTAGTCAAGGTATTAAACACTCATTTGGTAAGATTGATTGATTCTGACTGACTTTGATTGATTGATTGATTGATTGATTGATTGATTGATTGATTGATTGATTGATCGATCGATCTTCCACCTTTATCTCAATGAAAGCCATTAGTCAAGGTATTAAACACTCATTTAGTAAGATTGATTGACTGACTGACTGATTGATTGATTGATTGATTGATTGATTGATTGATTGATTGATTGATTGATTGATCGATCGATCTTCCACCTTTATCTCAATGAAAGGACTCAAGGTTGATTGATTGATCGATCGATCGATTGATCTTCCACCTTTATCTCAATGAAAAGACTCAAGGCAAGTGGTTGATAATCATCAGAACTTGAGCCACAGCATTTAGCCAGATTAGTGGCCCCTAACCTAGGTGGATATTAAAAGCTAGATCCAATTTTAGTCCCATTGAATGAACAGGAATTGTTAAAACCATATGTACATAAGTTGCCTGGATTTCCTCGAGTCTTTTTAATTGGGGACTGAGCACTGGCCACTAGGGTTAGACACAACTGGACTTAATTGTCAAGGGGAACCTTTGCATTTGCCTTTATAATAGAATTTAGTCCAGGGGTCTCAAACATGCAGCCCGGGGGCCATTTGCAGCCCACCGGATGATAGTTTGTGGCCCCTGCCTTGCCTGCCCCCCCCCGAAGCGCCCATGGGTCCTCTGCTGTCAAGAGTCAAAAAAAAAGCCTTGCCTCACTCACCAGCTCTCTCCCAAGACAGTGCCTCTTGCACCCTCCATCCGGAACTGCAACCTGCCAGCCAGCCCGCCTATCTGCCGGCTGGCAGGCTGCAGTTCTGGATGGAGGGTGCAAGAGGCGCTGTCTTGGGCGAGAGCCGGTGAGTGAGGCACGCTGCCAGACCTTTTCCCTGAGCTGCCACCAAGCGGTGCCTGAGAGTGGAGCTCGCTCCCGGCCCGTCCTCGAAGAGCGCCTCCCAGCCGCCAACAGCAGCTGCTGCCGCCTCTTCCCAGGAAGCAGCTCTCTTGCTCTCTTGCTCTCTTGGCATCCCCATCACCAGCTCAGCCAGTGGCTGCCTTAGCGTCCGGTGGTGGTTCCTACTCCTCCTCTTTATCCTGCTTCAGCCGCTTCGGCTCTGGAGGCTGCCTGGACTCGCCTCACAAAGTTTGCTCCCCTGTCATGGAGGGGGTAGCTGCTGCTGCTGAGTGTGCCCTTTTTGAGGAGGGCCTTCAGAGGAAGGTTGCCAGACCTCAGTGTGTGTGTGTGTTTGAGGGCTCACGCACCCTCCTCCTCCTCAGAGCCCCAGCCGGGCTAAGGAAACTCCTGGGCAGCTTCCTCGGGCTCTTGCTCCACTTGGCGGAAAATCTGATGCGGCCCAGCCTCAGCCAGACTCTGCCTCCAGCGGCCCCCAGGTAAACTGAGTTTGAGACCCCTGATTTACTCCAACGTTCTATACATTCTTGATTGTTGTGTATACTGAAGATCAGATCATACGTGAGTGGCTTTAAGGGCTTAAATAGAAACTATGTAAAGGTATGTAAGAATGTAACAGCAGCTTCCCCTCTCCCTTAGTGCTTAAGTAGTTTTCTGCCTGTCATTTCTCTGCTCCCCAGTTCCCTACATTTGTAGGCTGATGTTACAGAGCTGCTTTAGATGGCGGTGTGATTTGGAGTGGAGAGGAAGTGGTTAGGAAACAGATTGACCACATTTTCCCTTCTCTGCTTCCCATAGATACTTCCCAGAGTTGTTGTTTTTTCCCTCCTGAAAGCAACCATAAGGTTGTCACACATTTTCCACCCTTAATTTTCTTGCACATCTTCTCAAAGAATGTTCTCTTCTATTGATTCTCCCCTCCCTCCAATGTTCTTATTTTCTTGTCTTTTCATTTCTGACTTTGTGGATACAGAGCTTCCTAAAGATTAGGAAAGCAAGATGTCCACACGTTGGCTCCAAAACTCAATGAAAGCTATACCAGCCATACGTGGAAATAGTTTTTAAAAGTCGTACATCAAGCAGGTAAACTTTGCTCAACAGACATGGAGACAGCTTACAGAATGCCCACAGCTTTGGCAGTGAAGAAAAGACCTTTTGAGCAAAAGTGTGTCAATGTATGTGTTCACATTTCACTTTTCTATGAGCTTTCTTTGTGTTCTAGGCTAGGCCGTTTTATGCTTAGTAGGGCAGAATATCAGTGATGTAGTGGAGCCAGAGCCTAGACATTCAGAGACAGGGGACTTTCTGAGCAGCAGGGACTATGAAATCATCTGCCACTACCCGCAGACTTTGTTCATTCTGAACATAGCAATAATAACAGCAGCTGCAAGAGAAACAGATTTTCCAGGAACACTATGGTATTGCTAGCAATCCTCATTGTAATGCAAAGTATTTGAAGGTGGTTTGGTCTTAAAAAAGCAATTATGAACCATACACTTTATAAAATATCTGCTGCTCCTCTGCTAACTTGGTCTGAACTCTCTGTCTGCATTTTTAGACTGTTATAATGCACTCCTATATTTCTGAATTTATCACTACATCACTATATAGCATTAGCAGGGGTAATGAGTTCAGTTTTGTCCTAGCCTAAAATAAACTCTAATTTAAATAAAATTTAATTTAAAATGAATACTAGATAATGAATACTAGATTTTCCTCTGTCTTGAGA